CCGCCCCTCCGCTTCCTGCCAGGATCGGCTTGGGCCTGCTTAGTCTTGGGGTTAAAAAAAGAAAGCCGACCCTCATCTCGTTTCTGCAAATTAAACAGCGAGAAAATTCTGTCCTCCAAAATGCGTAACTGCAGGGAGGAACCCACACAAATCCAAAAATTTCCATGACCAGCTTTTACATGGGAAACTACTGCTCTGACCTCTTCCGGACAGATTTTCCAAGTGGATTAGTGTTGATCGCTAAGCTAGAGCTAAATGCGAACTAAATTTTACTTTTTCCTTGTTCTAGGACTTACTCTGAATTGATGCTGCAAACATTTAAACATACACTGAATTTCCCGAGTTAGGTTATGCGTATTTCCAAGATGAGAGCCTGTGTGCTAAGGAATAAAGGTGGTGTCATACAATGGACGTACAAATTTTGTTTCCCCGTATGCTGTCCTCATCTTCTGGAAGAGGAACATAAAACGACTCTGAAGGACAGCGGACTCATTAGACTGCCTGCCCTTAGTCCACGGGATAAGGAAAACATAAATGGAAACAAGACCTGTTGTCTGCCAGACATTGCTTTGCTGTGTGCAAACAAAAGTCTGCAACGTGGATCATATTTACTGACTTTAAAGGGAAAATTATTAGGATATATGAGTTAGTGTTTCCGAAAATAGAGAGTGATTGAAATTCAGAATGGGGGAAAAATTCTAGACTTCTCCATAACGGTGAATTTGGGATTACAGGATCACAGAATAATTCAGGCTGGAAGGGGCCTCAGGACATCTCTCCCATCCTTATACCTAGTTTAAATTTCTATGTGTCTCTTCCCAAGAGTAAAGCCAACCTGCTGTCATTTTATGGTGAAAATTGGTATTTTATGCTATAGATTTACTATTGTGAGAGAAAAATGGCTTCTTCCATAGGTGTCACACCTTGCGCTCGAGCATGTGTCCCACACCTGAGAGTACCTCGTCACAGTGCATGCCTTCAGCGTGTTTCTCAAGCTCCAGACTATTTCTGGCCTGTGCCCTCGGGAGCACGGCAGGGCTCCGCCGGCAGGGGCGGCCCCCCGGCGGGAGGCGGGCACCCCCGGGCGAGTCTCGGGCAGCAGCCGGCACCTCCGGGCAGAGACCTCACCACAGTCACCGCTCACTCTTGGGGTGCTCAGCCGCACCATTTCTTCCAGTGAGCTGAGAAATCTGCCCTCAAAACTGAAAGGCTCAATAAAAAAGTCAGTAAAGCTTCCCATCTGCCATAGTCTCTGAAACTAAATAAAAAATTAAAGGCCTGAATGTCTTAGAAAAAGATGATGCCTACTACCATTTTTACTACTTTCTTTTAGTTGGTATTTTGGAAACCCTGACAAGTGTCAGCTGATTTGCCCACAGCAAATCATTACACTGAGGAAAGTTTCCCATGCCTGAAGGGGAAACAGAATAGAGCACGAATCTCTGAACATGCCTACAGTATTTTTGAGAGAGAAAATATTTCACGAGGCCAATGGCAACCTACCCCTACTGCCTTATGCTAATGGCATAAGAAAGCTGCAGAGACAATATACAGCGCAGAGTCAGTCAGAACACCCTTTTTATGGTCAGGTTTTGTGAGCATTAGGCAATGTCAGGGCTTTCTGCTGCTCACCTTCTTTCAGCCTCAAAGTCCTTTCTGAAGAGATAAGGCACAGAGGATATGAGTGAAAGGTCTTTCTATTCGGGCTCCCAACAGGAGAAACAAAGATAACATAAAGAAGTATCAAGACATTATCACTTCTTGCATTAGCCTGTTCACGTTCCATGCATGAACCACTTTCACACAGAAACTTCAGACTTGAGACCTTTGGACATGAGAATCTTTATACCTGAAGTTTCCGGAATACAAGTATTTTGCAGAATAACAGACTTAAGGTGGGAAAAATTTTCAGGTGACTTACTTGCCACAAATTATGAACTTCAGCGTAAGAAATATATATACATTTCCAGCCACCCTTTTCTGCCTGTGACTCCTCATATATAATTGAGCGTGTGGTTTTTAGATTTTTCTGATTGTCCCCAGACACATTCATAGGTACCCAAACAGCAGGTACATTCTGTGGCAAGAGCCCTAGCTCTGCTACCCAGCTTGTCCGTATAGGAGACCTGGGCATACTGGTCCCCAGCATATTCTGATGTTTCAGCCCAATTATCTAGGGCAGTGGAAAGAAGGCATCATGATAAGGAGGCAATGCATCTATCTTGTAAATGAAATGGTGCCGAAGCACCACTGGAATCTGACCATGTTCATATCATCAAACTTTCTTACCCTCCAAAATTGGGTGTATACATTCAAACCAGCTATTGGAAGTGGTCCCTGACCTGTACGGTCCCTGATCATACTGGGCATTGTTTGGGAGAGTAACTAGCTAACACTGTAATAGGTTATTTTAAGCCCAAAGACAGTCAACTCCAGCTCCTGGTCCAGCCCCTGGCAATGCTGCAGGTTGCCCATGCTGCCAGATCGTGCACCCGGGGCCAGGAGCTTGGGAACGCTCCCTGGCCCAGGTCCTTAGGCCTCTCAGTCCAGCCTCTCTTCTGATGCCCTCACAACAACATGAGAGTCTCAACAGACTTTATTTATTTATGTTTCTAAAAGCTGTGTCAATCTACAGTTATTTTTTATGAAGTATAAATAGACCTTAATGCTTGAAGATTTAACACAAACCCCCAAAATCTCAGGATCCTTTGCAGCTACACGAGGACACGGTTTAGTGGTGGACTTGGCAGTGCTAGGTTAACGGTTGGACTCGATGATCTTAAGGGTCTTTTCCAACCTTAACAATTCTGTGATTCTATGATTCTAACATGAGACCTTACTCATGGATTGTGATTATAAAATACCTTCTAACAAGATCGTGCTACAGGGAGAAACCCATATGATGTAATTGTCCTTACTGGTTTTGGCTAAATCGAGACTGCAACCTGGAATGTGAAGCTGCCAAAAAAAATGTAGTAAATTTAGCATACAGCCCAAGCACTGTCACTAAATGAAGTTGTCCCATTCTTTTCCCACCTTCTGATTTTCATTCCTGCCCTGGATCAGTCCTCTAACTGGCATTGAGTTAGATGCTTGTGCACGTGAAGCAAACTGCAGATCTGATCAGGTTTTTGTTTCAGTTACCTTTCAAGACATCAAGTACCTGATCCAGTAAATTCAGTGAAAACTTACATCAGATTAAGGAGATCATGAAGCTACATACTCTTAAACAGTATGAATTTCTTTGCCTTTCAATACATGGTGTATCTGTCTTTTTGCAGTGGTAACATTGCAAATACGCACTCTGACAAACTGTTCCAGACCTGCTAACTTGGGTTCAGGGGTTACTGGCCATCGTCTGCCTGTTACAGTCACTGTTAGTGTGTACCTTATCCTTGCTCTGGCAGTTTAACTGCATCTGATCAGCCACTAACTGACGTTTTTAGAAAATGGTCTGAATTGAAAAAGTAGTTCTCCCATTATAATCTTTATAATCTTTAAAAAGTAATTTTCTAGCACTGGATTCTGGACTGACCAGCTGTTCAGAATTTTCTGCTGTCACGTGGAGACCCTTCAGCTAGCTTGACTGCCACAAACAGTGAAGCTGCGTTCAACTACTCCTCTGGCAACTAATGGATCTTGTCAGCATACCTCTAGAAATTACTGAAGGGAAAGAAAATATGGAATGTGTTTAAAATTAAAGCCTTTCTAATACTTAACCTTTCAAAATATTTTCTTTTTTTTAGTTGAAAATTTACGTTGACTGGTAATTGAACTTAATGGCAATTAAATTTATTTTAAAGACAATTAAACATTAAAATATTAAAGCCTTAGATCATGTTCTTCCTATTTGAAAACTCAAACTTCAACTATTTAGTATTTTGCTGACTGGTCTAGGTTCCAGCCTTGATACTCTGGGCTCATTTATCTCATCAACAGATGTATACTGCATGTCACTTTCCCCTGTGATCAAGTGTATGAACAGTACAGGTGTTAGAATCTTTATATATTAGCTCATTATTTCTGTGCTGTTAGAAACACACCTCTATAGCACTTTTAAACATAAAGTTCTTCCAGTTAATGTTTCCTAACATAGAAACAATAAGTTAAAGAAGCCTTTTGTCTCTTGTAGGAGATTTAAAAATCAATTTTATATTTGTGAGCTCTTGAGTTGGTGTGCATAAACGTATATAAATTACATTAAGGGACATCAAGTTAGAAAATAAAGTTTCTGGAGCTACTCTTGATGCAAGGATCAGAATATTTTCAGAGTTAGGTTCTTAATGAGGAATTAATTAGGTAAAAATATTTTATAGAGTTATATTGAAAGTTTTTAAAAGAGCTATTTCAGAACAGTTCTAAAGGTGGAAAATATTCAGTGTAGTTCTGCTGTAAACATCGATTTCCTATATAGTCTGAATTTAGTAAAGCAAGTAAATAAATCAATTTATGTACAATTTGAAAACAAACAAAATGAATGGAAGAACCGCATTATGAATAATGTATGTATTGTAGTTTGGGTTTAAAAGACATTTGCAACACAAAAATTATCTTGTTAACAGGTATTTTTACTATTAAAGGATATAATTCCATCTAGTTTTGCTGAATCATGTTTTTGTAATACCTACTTTACTACTGTTTACTTTCTGATTCCTGCAGATAGCTTCTTTAAAAGTTAGCATTTTAGCAATATTGGTACTATTTGCATCAGACCATTTGCACTGTGAAAGACCACCTAAATTAACTGTACAAACTACTAGCAATAATTAAAATTATAGTTTTAGTTGTAGCATAATTTTAATATAATCACTAGTTACAATTACAGTATGCAAACCATTAGTTAGAACTCTACCAAATAGGAATAAAGTTATTAAATTAAAGCTATCATTTTAAGGCATTATGTTTTCTGAACCATTAGGGTCACAGTAGCAACATACCATAGTCCATTACAAAAGAAACAGACTTTCTGGCTGCTCTAGTGAGCAAGTAACGTATTAAACCGATCTAATACTTAACAGACGTGAACTATGCCTCTGTTTTCCTCCCATGCCAAAAGCTCAGGCTAGGACACTCTGTATTTCAGAAGCATGCAATTCCTTTATTTTCTGCAAGGGGGAATTCACATCTCCTTCATGTTCCACCTCCCTGTGGCTCACAGCTAATGCTAGTTATTTCCCCTTGTTCATTACGTGACTCTTTTATACCGTCCTGCTCCTCCCCTGCAGTAAGTCCGCCTCCTCTCTGCAGCCAGTAGCAGATTTCAGCTCCTCACGTGGGCCAGCAGAGGAGCATGCTCAACAGAAAGAGTCTAAAAACATGGAGGGGTCAACTTTGCAGCTCCCAACACAAGTCAAGTCTGCTCCTACTGCTGTTGGACTTAGAAGAAAGAATATATACGCTGGTAAGTGCATATTTGCTCCACTTGGGCCTCTCCTGCTGCAAGTACAAGCCCTACTTTTCACTCCCTGATGGAGCCCAGGACCTTTCACCATGTTCTTTGGCATAGGTTTTTGATATTTCTGGGCTTAGGGTACCTTCTGTCCTTCCATCTGAATTGCAGAAGAGGGAGGCGAATCGCTGTCCCTTATTCATGGATGCTGCAAGTACTGGGCCTAAAAATGCTTATGCTGTTACACAAAAAAGAAAATTTGCTCTTTTTTTCTAAATATTTTCTTCCCTTGACTCACACTTCTGCGAATTTAATTCTTTATATTTTCCTTTCTTCTTGCAAACTGTACTCTTGCTCCACTTTGGATCTATTCAAGTTTGGACTCACCAGTGTGTCTGGTCACCACAAACAATGGGGAATATGGCTGCTGTCATGCTGTAATTGAATAACTAATGCAGAGCTATGTGGCTTTGTCACTAATATATGGATGATAATAATATAGTTCAGATTTCATTGCCACAGACCTCTTGTTTTGTTCACCAACAGAACTTAAAGGCACTGTACTTGCTGTTATCACAACTGTGATTAGCTCTCAAACCCTTGTAGTAACCCCTCCTGAACAGTTTAACTGAGCTTTTAATTCTGCTGAATCCATTTGTCTATCTGTAATGGCTTGTGTCTCTAATAGTCTATTACTTAAGACAACTTAAGGTATAAATCTCAGGAGGTCAAAGAATATTAAAATAACTGATAAGTACTTCCATATGCGAGTAGTGGTGAACTTGTTCTGAAAACCACATTTCCAGAGCCCAAGAGACAGTAGTTTTATGTTCTAGAAACTTTTTTTTCTTTGAAGTAAAATCTTGAGGACACAAAGTAAGTATACATTGATCGCTTCAGTTACGTTTGGCTAGACAAAGGTCTTAGTGTTTGTAACACGTCCCAAGTCATGCCATTTTGAATTAGTCTTCCAAGGAGCAAAACTGGTGCTTGCTAAAATCATAAAACAATGCTTTCTATGCCGGCCTACACAAGCGATGAGCAGCAGAACTGGCACGCCATCCTGCGCCCTGCTGTCCTGCTCTGTTAAACCTTCCTGTGGCCCAGTTACAGCCACTTTGCTCCACCTACCTTTCCCAGCTCAGGGCAGGCCTCAGGTTACATGGGCGGCGTTAAGGTTGGGAAGTCAAGGAGATAGAGAGTTCGGTTTTCCACCTGCTGTCCATCAAGTGGTCTTCATGATGCCTTTAGGAATTTATACTCTTGACACCTCTGTCTCCTTGTTGAATGTGGTGGGAATTAGCAAAGTGCTAGTGAGAGAGATGGATGTGCAAAATTATTAGGTAGGTCTTTTATTTTATTTTTTTCTCGGAAACTAGAAGAAATGATAGCCAAACAAAGGTTCACTGAACTTCGTCAGTCAATATGAAACGTTTAGTCTGGGAACAAATGTTTTAATTTTCAACATAATTTTTTTTCAGAAAGCCAGAACCACAAGAAAACTTGCCAGTATTTCTCAGCTATATTGAGAGTACAGTAATAGAATCTTTGATAAAAAGTAAGTGTTTAAAATGTTAACTTTTGTTTCTTTTCAGGAACATCCAGCATGATTACAGAGCAATATGCAGATGAGTAGGAACTACACAGAATTAGAAAAAATGAGTAATGCAGCCTGCCAACAGGAACAGTAGATGTTGTAGAGCAGCTTAAAGAATTATGTTGACATTGTAATGTCATATTTTTGCACAATTTTAAAAAGTTTTTGTACAAAAAACAAGGTCAGCAAATTCATATTTTTAATTCAGAATTCAAGAAGAAAGTATTTTTAAAAATAGTTAAGGCCTTGCTTAATTGGAAAAAAAGTATGGAATTAGTTTCAAATTTGAGCTTTATTTTGGAATTCATTTGTGCCCTTGTCAAGAAACGGAGAGCAATGAGGCTGGATGCATTCTAGTACTGTCTCTGGCCAACGCGTGATGGGGTCTGCGTCCTCCAAGGCGGCAGTGAATCCCGTGGCCCAGACTCTCACAGGTGTTTGTTTCATTGGGAGCTCACCTGCGGGCACCTGAACACCTGTAATTACGTGGCCATAGGGGTCTACCCTTTTTCATGGTAGGGTAGGACCTTGGCCTTCATCCAGAGCTTGGCCTTGTCCCTCCCCTTGTCCCAGCGCCCTGGTAAAGGCCACCTGCAGGGCAAGGGGCAAGGGGCAGCAGGTGGCCACCCTCGCCTGCTGCCTCTCGGTGCAGCCTGAGGGCGGACGTGCAGGGCCCGCCTTTCCGCGGGGGCCAAAGCAGCGCTGCCAGCACATGGAGTTCGCGCGGAGGGCTGCGCCGGCACCGTGACAGAGGGTGCCGCGGCCGTGCCCCGCGGCCGGCGGCAGGGGAGGGAGGCGAGCGCGGCCGTAGCCCCGGCGGGGGCCGCCGGGAGGCGCGGGGGGGGGGGGGGGCCCGCC